ATCCATGAGGCTCAGAGAGACTCGATCACTCTCAGCTGAAGCAGAGCTACTGACTCCAGGACCACAGCTGGAATCAGGGACCTTAACCTCTGTGAAGTCATTCAGCTCCCTCCATCAGGAGTCTTCCTATGGTGTTGGACCCTTCGTTTTAACTTTCATGAAGATATTCAGTGTATCATACATTCCAAGTCTTTAAAGAATTCTAGAGCAGGGCCCGTCACTGGTAGAATGGACTGAAACCCTCTTCTTCAGCCCCAGGATAAAGGATGGAGTTGCACGTGCCAACATGAGAAAGTAAAGTATATGCTCTTGAGGCACTGAAGCAGGTAATTTCAGCTCTGAGTAGCAAGGAGGCTACTACAGAGAAAACGATAGATGTTAGTGGGAGGTATGTTAGGAGAAGGACTTGAGCGGAGAGAAGGAAGCAGAGACCAATGTTCCAGATAATCAAACAGCAGGATCCATGCAGGGCCGGAGGGCTTAAGCCCTGGGATTAAATGTTATGAGTACAGTGCCCCAGGAAGCAGAGGAAGCTGGACTGTTGGCCACTCAGTGGATTTCCTATTGGCTTATTGGGCGGAAATTCTTTCCACATATTCGTAAAATGATAAAACTAGTTTTCCATCTTGGAGAGGAGGTGGTAAGGGTGCTCAAGCTGCCCTTGTCTGTCCATACCTTCTGGCTTCAGGATGCCAGGATGCTCTGGTAAGGGCTTGGAGCTGGAGTCTAACAGCTGGAGATAAAATCCACTACAATATCGATGTACATTCCTAGTTAGGAATGTGTATCTCTGTAAGTTTCATTTTATTACAGTTTTCCTTCTTTGAACTATACTGGGCTTATCCACTCTACCATGCCCTTAAGCCTTCAGTGGCTCTAAGACCTTAGGATTTCACAGAGTAGAGACATTTCAAAAAATATTTCGGGGACTGATTTGTTTAAATTACAGTAGTAGCAGCATCAATTGTCATGACTATAACTTTTTTTTGTTGTTGTTGAGTTGGAGTCTCACTCTGTCACCCAGATTGGAGTGCAGTGGCCGCTTCCGGCCACTGCAGCCTCGACCTACTGGGCTCCGCCTCAGCCTTCCAAGTAGCCAGAATTTCAGGCATGCGCTACCACGCCTGGCTGATTTTTTTCTTATTTATTGTAGAGATGAGGTCTCGCTGCCCAGGCGGGTCTCGAACCCGCGGGCTCAGGCAATCCCCTCACCTCAGCCTCCCAAAGGCGCGGGATTACAGGCTGAGCCACCGAGCCCGACTACGACTATAGCTTTTAATATGACTATTATTTCATAGAAGAAAGGGCATTTTTTTCTCCAACAGGAATGATATAATCTCAGAATAAAAGACAGTTCTTTACATCAAATACATTTAATTTAATGAACAATTCTCTACTTTGTCCTTTGTTTTCTCATATTGATGTAGACTGGTGAAAATGTTACCAGGGAATGACATTGGTCTGTAGAGGATATTTGGAAATTAGGAATAGACATTGCTCTGGTTGCCTGTGCTGTATAACAGCTGTCCATTTAGAGAAGGATTTTGCTGCCACTGGCCACTTCTGTAGGATGGGGGCCAATGAAACCTCCTCTTTTCAGAACTCCTCTACTTCTTACCTCATTTTATTGGCTGTTTCTGTGGTTGCTTCAAGTCAAAGAGAAATTTGGAAGCACCTTTCTTTCATTTGTCACTGCTGCCAGGAGAGAGGTCACAGCTGGGAAAGAGATTTCTTCATCAAAATGTCAATGATGCTATGGTGGAGAATTGTTTTCTTGACCCTGCAGTAATTTTTATTCCTTGCAAATGTAGCTGTAGTGTTTTATGCAGGTAGTCAATTCTCAGTGATCTTTTCCTGGCTCATTAGCTCTGTCAATTACATAGGATAATCACGCATGCTGTTTGACCAGCCATCTCTCCAGTATCCACCACACACCTTCAGGTTATATGTGCTCAGGGAGGTCCAGCATTAACTCAAGATGGCAAGCAAACCAACATTAGGGGGGCTATTGGCAAATCACCTGCTTTCTTTGAACCCAAATGCACTGCAAAGTATACATGTTTTTGGAGGTGACTATGGTTTAGGGTCATCTGATATTCTTCCCTTAGTAATGACCACTAAGGTCCAACCACATATTCACCTTCAGTGGCATGATGCCACCAACACAAAAAGTCCATACACTGATATCTTCAACAGTGACACATTTGTAAGCTGTATTTGGGATACGTATGATTGTCTTATTTGTCTATTTACAGTCATACTGGAATGAACTATTTTTAATAGAATAGAGCTTTCTCTTTTTAAGACTTATAGCACCACTGTGAGTTACACTGCAATCATGTTAAAAAAAATAGCATAAGTTTGCAAATATGATTTTTCAGTCTTAAATTGACCTCTGAACTATGAGAGATTCTTTCACATAAACAACTTAAACAATTGGCTAGGGAGTAGGAAAAACAAACAGATAAAATGGAAGGAAATGGAAAAGGTCAAGAAAATAATAGAATATAAAACATAGAATTGAACACATATATTTGAATATATGTATCAGTGTATAATTGAAGCATGTACTGTATTTACACACAATAATAAATGTGTTTATATATTTATTTAATTGTTGCTTTTTGATAGTTGGGAGGTCAGATTGGAGCAGCAGTGTTATCAATAATATTTATATTTATGTTACAAAAAATGCTGTCAGCATTGTTATAAATGTCATAAGTAAATAATACTATTTACTTTAGGTGATGTGGATATTTGAGAGGTCAGATGGGAGCAGCAGAAATGTCAAAGCTGTGACTGAGATGACATCTTCTGACAGAGTTTCTTCACAAAAAAGACCTGTTAGCCCCTAGATTTATTCTGAGATTGATACTCTCCTCAGGTGTTTCATTAAGTACGTCCTCCTCCACAGGTGTTTGACAGATCAAAGTACAAATGAGGGCCAGTGTTGCTTCTGAACCAGAATTTCTGAAGGTACGGTCTTGCCTGACAGCCTGGGGTCACTGGTGAAAATTATAATCAAAGGGTCTGGGTAGAGCCTCTTATAACTTGCATTTGAATAGGGTGGAGGAAGTCATGAATCTTCTTAAGTTCATCATTTGGTTTATGACCAGAAGACTTTTCTTTGGAAATTGCTTTTTCTAAATCTATGTTCCCACTGAAACTCGAACTATCACTTCTTGGGTGGACATAAACTTTGGTATTTGTTAACTAGTGTGTCACAGCAAATAAGTTCTTCTTGGTAAGATTTCAAGCTGAAGGTGTACTGTCTAGAAACATTCAGTTTTGTTGAGTCAAAAACGTTTTAGCTCTTACAGATCACATATTCCAATCTCTTTAAAGCATCCCCATAGACACTTATGAATCAGCTTGCATATTTCTCGTGCTAGAGTGTTCTATTTCATTGTTAGAGCTTTCTAATTCACTTATTCTAAGAAAATGTGTTCCCTGGGATGTGGTGGTTCACATCTGTAATCCCAGCACTTCGGGAGACCGAGACGGGAGGATCGTTTGAGCCCCAGGAGTTTGATACCAGCCTGGACAACATACTGAGACCTCATCTCTACCACAAACAAACAAAAAATCAACCAGGCATGGTGGCACATGCCTGTAGTTCCAGCTACTTGGGAGGCTGAGGCAGAAGGATCACTAGAACTCAAAAAGTCAAGGCTGTGGTGAATCGTGTGATTGTGCCATTGCACTCCAGCCTGGGTGACAGAGTGATACCCTGACTAAAAATAAATAAATAATGTGTTTCAGAAAGTATAAGGATGGGA